TAGAATATCTTAAAGGGCAGAACAGTCTTACTGTCACATGAAAAGGTGACAATTATCAATAAAAAGCACTTATTAAATTCTCATTTTTGTTTGTTACAATAAAAGTAGTGTTCCTAACGTTTTTTGAATCTTTAGATGCCTTTGAGAATATGATGAAACTATAAACCTTTCCTTAGAAAATTGGGCACACATGCACATAAACAATTTTGCTAACAACTTTAAGAAGTTCTCAGGCCACCCATAACCCCATACGGACTCACTATAAAAAGATGCACACTTTGTTCTCATTGTCATCACTTGAAACAATACTATTTGTTCACTGCTCAATCATGCCAGGTATTTTAGAAACGACATAGTTAAAAGGCTGTTGTCCAGAAAATGACATTGTTATTAACAAAATATTTACAGTTATATATTTTGTGTATATATATATATATATATATATACACACATACATACATATATGTGTGTGTGTGTATATATATATATATATATATATATATGGTTATATACACTATCTATAGAGGGTGGAAGAACTTACTACAAGAATACCCAGGACCAGGATAATGCAGCCACCAAGCTATTCAGAGACATTGAATTTGAGACCATTAGAGAGTAATGAAAAAATATTTAGAATGTGCTTATCAATGTCAATGTCCATTTCCATCTTAAATGCCATTGGAAGAGGAGTTAAGAGAGTCGAATGAAGGTGGCAAAAACATTGAGTACCTTTTTGGTTCTTTGAGAGGAAATCCATAGGTGTCACAGCATTTCAGCAGAAGGCTTGGTCTTTGAGAATTATTGATGAGTTTTACAAATAGAATTTCTCTAGGGGGATGCTTGATAGTAAAAAAAAAATATGTTGGTTTAATACGCATGATGTTTTTGTTTGTGCTTATATTGAGAGATACTCAGTGTGATTATGTTTAGTTACGTTTTTCTGCTTTACGTAAACTTTGTTATTTCTGTTGTCCATGTTACCTGGCCTTCAGTGGTCTTACATGCGTATTTGAGTGCTTTTTATTTGGTCATGAGTAGTAGGTGGTACACATTCACTCGTCAGAAGGGGAAGGGGATCATTTTGATATTGCTGTCAATTGATTCATTTGGGAAAGTGAAAATTTTGACCTCCTGAAGGCAAAGGTGAATTTAAATGTGAATAGAAGAGGGAAGATCAGAGTTCCTTAAATCAAAATTTAATCAGACCAACTAACAATGTGGACACCATTTAGTAATAGGCTTTTATAAAAGTAGGCAATACATTTCAGTGGCAATGGAAAAATATGAATTAGTCAGTGAAGAAACATTTATTAAATGTTAACTTGGGAAACAATAAAAAAGAAAGTTTTGGCAAAGTTGGGATAAAAATGATACTCTTGATCAACCAGCGCAGGTAGTGACGCAAGTTGATACATTTTTGGAAAGCAGTCTCACAATTGTGACAATTGTGCCCTTCTTGGCCTCATTTCTTGAATTTTATTCTAAAAAAGTAATTTAAAGTATAAAAACAATATACATGAAAATATTTATTGTATTTTTTACAATGTTAAGCTAGAAATACTCTACATGTACAACAGTAGAGGAATGATTAAGTTATGGAACATCAAATCTTTGATGGAATGCAATTGAAAATGGTGCCAAAAATTGTAACAGCATGGAAAAATGCTTTTGATAGGAAGAGAGAGCACAGCTGTACATGTGGCTATGTCATGAGTATGGTTATGTACTAATTAGCTGTGCATTGAACAAAAACTAGAAGGAAATGGAAAAAAAAAGGTTGATAAGTTAGGGTGGTGTCAGAATAGATGAAATTTAGGTATCTTTAATTCTTGTCTTTTGTTCAATAATGAAAAGTTCAAGACAATTTTCTAATTTTATGCACTTATGGATTATGTTCAATATTGAATTAATTGGGAATTTAAGTATTTGGTGTGAAGGATTTTTTTTGCCCTTAATGGACAGCTGCTGTTTCAGAATGATTTATTGAGTAGTTGATTCTTTCCCCACTGATTTGAAATGCCACCTTTATTATTACTTAATTTCCCTGACAGGGGCAAGTTGTGATCCCTCCCCCCACAGCTCAGAACATTATTCTCTTTCTCAAAACTTTTGTTTCTAGTCTTGTGAGTTGACTCTTCCAGATGAACTGTAGAATAAGCTTGTTGAGTTTCATTCGACAAATTTGGTTTGGGTTTTGATTAGAGTATATTAAATCTATAGATTAATTTGGGAAGATAATTTGGGAAGATAATATTGTACCTCTTATTGTTTCCAGAAGTTTCAGTAAAATAGCCGAGTGGTTTTTTAACTTGGGATACGGTGAATTGATAGAAAGATGGTAGCACATCTCTTGGTTTTTTTTTTTTTTGCATAGAAGAAGAGTGATTTCAATATTGATGCCAACATTCACTTTACAAAAGTTTATAGTTTTCAGTGGCCTAAAACAAAGTATGCAGTTGACTCCAGATGGGGAAAGGACGGAGGCACACTGGAATTCTGTAAATTGGAATTTATCTTTGCCATCAATAAAACTAGTGGTTTTAAGAAAAGTAGATTTTGAGTGGCCACAGTGATTAGAAAGTCCTCAATCTTAGTCAAAAATTATTACCGGTGGCTGTCTTGCTATTTATGCTGTACGTGTCCCTCAGCACATTTTCAGAAGCCCGTTCCTCCCGCTGGCCTTCTTTGTAGCTTTATCTAAATCTCCTTTGAGCTTTGTCTAACTTTTCTTGATGAAAATGTTCATGTTCTTTTCCATGCGTATTTTCTTTCCCAGTCTTCCTCTCCTGCCACGTCCCCCTCCACGCCTCCTAGTCCCTTTCCATCTCACTGGGTCTCTCTGTTGGTGTCTGTAACACCCTTCCCTCCTCCCGTGACACTCTTCGCCGCATCTTCCTGACCTCCGTGATTAGCAAGTGAGCGACTCCTCTTAGTGCTGAATATTACTCTTAGTGCTAGGACTGCTGGGCACCTCTCTTTAATGGACATGCCATTTCTGACATGAATGTTTATCTTTTGACCAATGTACAGCACGATGTGATCTTGAAAGGGAGGCATAACTGAATTGTGAAACTGTGCTGTTTGGAGTTGTGTTGCATTGGAAAGGGTTGCAATTAAACTTTCATAAGTCATCGTCCTCGTTTACCTACCAAATAAAATAGTAATATGATCATTGTTTTGAATAGATACGGATTAGATATCCTTGTGATCTGTGAAAAAATTTGGTCTGCTTATATAATTTATTTTCTAACATTAAAAAAAATATCACCAACAGGTCAGTCCAGGTTCTGTCTATGGATAATCAACAGTCTCTTTAGAAACCAGGAATGTGACTAAAGCAAGATTGTCTTCCTTTTTTAGGAAATGGAATTTCGTCTAAGTTTCTTCTCTGTCATTTCAGACATTTGTTGTTTTTTTGCTTTTCAGATCCTCTTTCTGAACTTTTTTTTTTGAAACTATTGTGTAGTAGATTTTCCCTGGCATGTTACTTTCTATTGATTGTGTGTGTGTGGTGTGTGTGTGCATGTGTGCTCACACACCTGCTCACACACAGAGAAAGTCTAATTCAAAATTGTGAGCTAGTGGTTTTTTTTTTTCAGAGCTCCACACTTTGTATTTATACCTGTTCATGGTTCAAGATGATGTTTCATGTGTGTGATGATTGCAAACCATCTAGAAAACTAGGAAAACATAGCCTTTTTGTTTCTAGAATTTTAGATGAAATAACCATGTGATTACGGGAAAGAGGAGGTCCGTACTGATCTTGTTTCTGGTCCTAACTGGCCTAACTCTTGATATTTTACACTAACACCCAGCAAAGGCCAGCAGGTGTCAAGGAGACTGTGGAGACTCCTCTGTGTTCACTTTTTCCCCCTGTCACAGGGTGAGGAGCTCTGGAAGAGTGGGTGTGTTTTTGTAGGGCAAGCACATAAAAGCCCAGCTGCTTTTCCACAGTGGACTGAGCTCTGGAGGCCCTCCAAAGTGGGCGACCCTTTCTACCTCCCGGTTTCCATTTCCCTGCCACTCCCACAGGCTGGGTGGAATCCACCTGCTCCCCGGAGGCCCCTGTTTTATTGCCTTTTTGTGTTTGAGGGGAGGGAGTGTCCCAAATCTTTGGAGTCCTCTGGGTCCCAAGACCACCTGGCCAGTTCATCCACCGTGGCCACCTTGGTGGCAGCATTATCGAAGGAGCCCCAACACACCGCCTCTGGATGGTAACATCCCGGGGAGCACTGGCCTGCTGCCCACTCCCTCGACCTGCCTGCCTGCTTCCTTCCTTCCTTCCTTCCTTCCTTCCTTCCTTCCTTCCTTCCTTCCTTCCTTCCTCAGAGTGTGCCCCAGTGACCCAGGGTGGCAGCTCCTCTCCTTGGGACCAGGATACTTAGCTGGGCTTTGTGCCAACCAGAAGCTTTCAAGAGAAAGCGTGAGGTCAGGCTGAATGAGACAGAGGACTTGGAAACCTCTCAGAGAAGACAAACAGCAGCGGGAAAGGCACCGCAAGTGTTGGATCGCATGGTGCTATTTGTTTGGCAATGTTTGTGAATATTTCAAATTCTTACAACTCCCTGTGATCCAGTACAGAGTCAGGCCATAGCTAAGAATAATTATTTTGAAGTTTTATACTATAGTGGTGTCTCAGGTACAGGAAAAAATAAATATAGGCAATGATGTCCATCAGGTAGGAATTCAAACAAGGTAAAAGCCAACAAAGTATTGTATTTACACATCTAGTAAATGAAATTCTTCCATATGCACTGAGCTTCTTCAAGTTTAAAAACAGAACAAACCAGCTCTGGTACCCATACTTAAATATATCAGAAATCATCTCCCTGTTGTTCAAAACATTGTTGCTGGGAGGAGGGTTCCTGGAATTTGAGCTCGCCCACGTGACGTGAGCATAACAAAGGGCCCAGTTTTGGACCAGGGCCCTTTTTATTGTGGTTTCTTAGGGCCAGGACAAGTAAGTATGACGATGCCCTGACTTACTCATTTTTTTCCAGGGGCAGATGACGGTCTATGCGAAGTTTGGCAAAAACGTTTATCTTCCTAAAGATGCCGAGTTTTACTTTATTTATAACGGATCTCGTCAGAGACACGTCGTGATTGCGGAGCGCACAGAGGATAATGTTCTGCAATCCAGTGTTCCAGGTGAGGTGTCCTCTTGATTGAGCAATTGGGAAATGTCTTTTGGCATCTTCACAGCGCTCCAAGGTGGGAGGGGTATGAGTGAGTGTGTACGTGTGTGCGAGAGCGTGCGTGTGTGTATGTGTGTAAGGAAGGGCCCTCGCACTGGATTATCCCACGTCTGAGGCTCTTCCAGGTGTGTCTGCAGCCCCCTGAGCAGCCACAACATAGACCTAACGCTCCAGGTTGGGTGTGCCTTGAATGCAGTCCGGTGGAGGAGATGCTCTGTCTCAGTATCACCCTCTGTGGTCCCAGGGCTGTTGCCTGGGATGGTTGAGGCAGATCTGAGATATCTGACAGTTCACTCTCTCTTCCTCATTCTCCATGGGTCAGTCTAGCAACCTCTCTCTGCTTTGCTCCCTTTGGTGGCTGGAGTTCCTTCCTCGGCACCCTGTTCATCCAGATGCTTTCTTGCTGGATCTCAGGCTTCAGAACTTTCTCTTCCCACCATAAAATGTTCACATTCCAAAACCTGTAATTCTCCCTGATATCTTCAAGTACCACAGGGACAAGTGACAAATTAATATGTTATCATGAGCCCTTCTCGGATGCGGTTGTTTTGTATTTTCGTTGGCATGTGGGCTGTACATCTGAGACATCGAACTCTAGCCTAAAGGTATAATCAAGATGTCATAACCTGCAGGAAAGGAGGGTTTTTGTTCTTCTTGTTTGTTGATTGGTCAGTTTTCTTTAACTTGTGGGTCTTTCAAGACCTCTTAAAATATACAGGGAATTTTTTAAATAGGTAAGACTGGCCTCATTTTTAAAAGAAAAATGTTTCGAAGTGCATCTGTAGTATATCTGTTGAATGCAGGGGAGAAGGAAGACAGTAAACCTGCAAACACAGACGTAGTGGGAACTGTAACGATAACAAAGACCTTTCAGACCTACCTGGGTTTGGACACTGAGTCAGTCTACTGTGCAATTTCTGGGACTTTGGACGATTTTAAGCAGTTCTCTCTCAGACCCAGTAACTCCCATTCTTGTAAGAAAAACAAAGTCAAACCACGTTAATGGCATGGAGTTATACCGGCTGCCAGTCTCCTTGGCCCTGGCCTTGTGCTTTGGCGTTTATGTTGATAGTTTTTGTTGCATTTACCTTGGCTGCTTCTTGGTTTTCTCTCTTTTATCAAGCCTCTTATAGAGAAAGAATAAAAATACTAACTAAAGTGCCACTCCTAACATCAAAACATCTGTTTTGTCTTTTTCTTTACTTGCATGTAGGGGAATACTTCCTTCCCACTCCTCATGTGTCAAAGAAAATCTTTTTGATTATATTGTAGTTTGCTTAGAAGAGAGGGTTCTTTGATTTTAACAACTTCCCTGTAGACAAGGGACAGTCCCTAATTCTGGATCATAAATTTCCCCTGGTTACAACTTTGCCACGGCAACCTTTCCAGAGTACGTACAACAGATTTCTGAGGAGATACTGGACGTGTCTAGTCTGCAGGTGGGGGCTGCATTCTGCGTCTGTACCGTTAGACCGCTTTAAAGAGGCGACGATGTGAAAATGGCAGTAGCTCTTGCTTAGCAAACGTGGGATGCTCTTGTTCCTTGAAGCCTTGCAGCATAGCCTTTGGAGAATAAGGCAGAGTAAGGGCGATTTGTACCTATTAGCTGTTTGTCTGGGGGCCAGTGGTGGGTGAATGTTAACCCTTCTTCTGTCCAGCTCGGATTATCATAATCACAGAGGTTTGGTGGTAGTAATTCCTGGAAATTCTGCCAAGGACAACAGAAAAATGTACCTGGTTAGAAGTCCACCAACCTTGGCAAAATGAAAGAAGAGTGTAAGGAGGAGGGACAGGTAGCAGGATTAGGTGGCCACCCACGAGCAGAAGTACCAAGAACACCTATAAGACAGAGAAGCCGTTCTCACAAGTGGGGAGGCGGGCAATGAACAACATATGTGATGTTTCTGTTGAGTAGTGTTTACCCACTCCAGTCACATTTGGAAGAATTCTGTGGAGTTAGGGTAAACTTGTGTAACTTTGGTGCCATCTTATAAAACTAGCACCTAAATAAATACATAAAAATATATGACTCAGAAGGGAATGCAGAGCAGGAAAGGGCAGTAGCCTTTAAGACAACAAACGTGAATGTGAGGGTTGGGGTTGAAGTACAAGGTGAAGTTAAGCCAAATAACAGTGGTAATGACAGGATAGTAGGCACCAAGATGCTCAGGGCTCATAACAGGTAGTGTGAAACTCAGGAGTCACTGGAAGAAGCTGGGGTCTGCTTTCATTTGGACCCACAGGCTTGGCAGCATTTCAAGATAATTGGCCGCATTTTCTTTCTGTCTTACTCGCCGGGAGCATGTGGTTTGCTTGGGCTAACACTCTGGACACTGGGAGAGCATCTTCTGCAGACTCTGGGTGAACAGCTCACTGTCTTGTTGTCCAGGCCACGGGCTTCAGGAGACGGTGACGGTGTCTGTGTGCCTCTGCTCAGAAGGTTACTCCCCAGTGACCATGGGCTCCGACTGCGTGACCTACGTGGACAACATGGCCTGCAGGCTGGCTCGTTTGCTGGTCACCCAAGCCCATCGCCTCACAGCCAGTAGCCACCAGACCTTGCTGACCCCGTTTGCCCTGACGGTGGGAGCATTGCCTGCTCTGGACGAGGAGCTGGTGCTGGCTCTGACCCATCTGGAGTTGCCTCCTGGGTGGACTGTCTTGGGAAATTCTTCAGTTGAAGGTGGGTCCTTACCAGAAAATTCAGGTGTCTGCTCTCTGTGTGCTTTACAATTTGTTGCCTGTTTCCCTGGGTGGGTTTTCCTGCCTACTTTTTGCCCAAGCCTTGCACTGCTCAGGCTGGGTTCCCTGAGGTCCTGAGCCGCTCATCTCTGTGCTGGTCGACGCTGCTCTGTTCCAGGAGGTGAAGAGCTTTGCCTCAAGGAGGGAAGGATTTTTCCTTTGTGGCCAACTGCTTTGGGCTGTGGCTCCACTTCCCGTGGCGTGCTTTCTTGTTGTAAGAAGGGGATATTGGTCCCCTGTTTCCAAACAGGTAGAGTCATCAAGCAAGGAAGAGCATGCAGTCAACTCCGTGGACCACTGAGAAGAAATGTGGCTATGCGGGAAATGTAATGAATACACTGACATCTTTGAAAATGTCAGTTACCGAGAGCATTCATATTACTGCATTACACTAACTTTCGAAATTACATCTGGATGCCCCTTGTTTACTAAATAGACTCTTAGTATCGTTAATTAGACTCCTAAAACCATTTGGTATCTGTGTATGAGCAGAGATATAGATGTATGTAAACTCATACTGTGCACAAAACTACGCTGCTCAATAGATGCTACTTATGGTGATTACAAATAACAATTTCACTGAAGATAGAAACGGTGCTGTGCATTTTATTGAACACAAGCATATACTATTTCTGGGTTTGTTTGTTTGTTTGTTTGTCTTGACTTCAGTTTTGTGGTTAGATGGTGCTATTTTTAGGAGTTTCTGCTTCCTGATAAATTCTGGTTACAGATTGGTTTAAATTCGATCATGGATAAGATTAAATGTACTCGTCATGAGAGGGGATCTCCATTTCTTTCCTTTAATCAGGGTTATACTAAAACTCTCCTGGGCACTTAAGGATGCTTCTTATTTCTTAAGACCTTGGAAGTCACAAGCCTAGTTCAGCACTGAGCTATGCCCGACTCCCATGTGCTGTGCTTAGCTGTGGGGTAGCTGATTGGCGTGAGTGAAGGGTGGGCTTCCTGAGGGAATGGGTGGTGTCTGTTCTGCTCACCATCACCCCCAAGAACCTAGCCAAGGGCTTGCCACATAGTGTGTGCTCAAGAAGTATTTGAATGAATGAGGCGTGTATCCTGAGATCTTTAAGGAGTTGCATATCCTAGATATCACTGTTGTAATTCTCCCATATATAGGAGGGAGAATGTTTTCTGGCTAAGAAACTTTGTTCATATGTATATACATACATATATTCATTTGTGTATTCACACATGTAGTACATATGTTCATTCATATGTATGTACATATAAATGCACATATATATGTGTGTGTGCGTGCGTGTATATATATATATATATATATATATGTATTCTGGATAAGGAACTTGATTCACTTAAGCCTCCTGGCTTTTAAAACAAATTCTGTCAATAATGTTGGAGAGTATTTTATATTTTAGAAGGCACACTTATTTTTTAAATTGAAGTACAGTTGATTTACAGTGTTATGTTAGTTCCAGGTGCACAGCAAAGTGACTCAGTTATACATATGTATATAAATATATTCTTTTTCAGATTCTTTTCCATTATAGCTTATTACAAGATGTTGAATATAGTTCCCTGTGCTATATAATAAACCTTTGTTTTTTATCTATTTTATGTATGGTAGTGTGTATATGTTAATCACATACTACTAATTTATCCCTCCCCCCTTCCCCCTTTAGTAACCATAAGTTTGTTTTCTGTGTCTTTGAGTCTGTTTCTGTTTCATGAATAAATTCATTTGTATCTTTTTTTTAGATTCTGCATATAAGCAATATCATATGATATTTGTCTTTCTCTGTCTGACTTACTTCACTTGATATGATGATCTCTAGGTCCATCCATTGTGCTGCAGATGGTGTTATTTCTTTTCATGGCTGAGTAATATTCCATTGTATATATGTGTGTGTGTGTGT